AACTATTACATTTGGTTAGTCTACTAATTCTATCAATTTTAACTCTTCTTACAATACCATCTTCCAGTCCAACAATGCTCTGAAACTTCCTAAAGTTACATTCTCGCCTAATACGATACACTGCAGCAACACAAACATTGCTACTAACCACACCAAAACTCACTTCTATGTATTACTTTCTCTTGAAGCCAATGTCATATAAGTTGAAAAGAACTTTTAGTTTATATATTTCCTCAAATTAGAAGAGCATTTAGGGAAAAAAAAAGAAATTAAGAACAAATAGATGTTATGAACAAGTATGAAATGCCTAATAGGAATTTAGTCAAGGATCTTAATTAATTAAGTGCGTGCATGATGTATAGATCCCTGTTATACATAGCACACAACATTCCATTTCATGTTTATAAAGTGTCAGATGCGAATAGACACCCTTTGTATCCTTGTAGTTCTGTTTGTGTGAATAGACCTATGTAGTGTAGTGTAGTTTGCATTTTATGGGTAGTTTGGGTACATGTGGTCTATTCGCACAAATGGAACTACATGAATCTATCATGCATGCACTTAATAGAACTATAAGGAATCTATTCCCAATTAAGTGATACTACAGTTGATAATGTTTTCAATTAAATGGTTTACTCTTAAAAATAATATATGTCTGGTCCCTTACAAGCTCGCACTTGTGAATCCTCTCCCCATTCCTTTTGTGTTAATTTTGTTCTTTAACAGCTTGGGGTTTTTCGTCTTCAACAGACATCCATGATCTACTTTTATAAGTTGACCCTTAGTGATTGAGATGCACGTCACATGTAATTTCTCATTTACGTCAAACATCTTCTCTTTATTACCGGAGGATTTCTCTTGTGGTTATAGTTCATGGAATGCATGCTAATAGCTTTTGGCTTTTAATTTAAACTCATCACATGCTCAAGTAAACATAGTTGTGCACGTGAGCAAATACGTGCACACGTATTCGTGCTCCTGTGTACATACGTGTGCACACATATATGTTGTATGCATGCTCATTCGTGCACACATTTGTGCATATGTATGCATTAAAATGGGTAGTTCGCATTTTATGGGTAATTTCTAATGGCAGTTGTGAGTAGAACTTGGCCAAGCTTTAAATGAATACATGCTGACATGCATTGACATGCATAAACAAACATACATGTGTACATGCATTTTGTCATAATATAAAATTATATCTCTCAGCCTTCACAAAAACTTTAAAATTTTGATGTACTAGCAGAATCTTTAACATGGTAATAGAGAAACTAAGTTTAAATCTTGATAGCCACCAATTTTTAAGCAAATAAAAAAAATATTACCAATGCATAAGTACTAGTATTTTTTTATTGGTCAATGAAAAACTTTATATTTCATTCACCAAATAGTGAGAATATATGTACATCATGTTACTCAGTTTGTTAACTGAGAATACAAAAATTCATGAAGACAACAAACTTCATTTGCTGAGAAATTCTCTCATTTCTTTCACACCAAATGTTGTAGATTGTAGCTGTAAACGCCAGTCTCTTGAGCCTCTGTTTGAAACCATTTCCCCTTAGCCTTGAAGAGAACCAGAACATAATGTGTGCACAGTTTGCAGATCTCCATTTGAATTTTAACCATTCCATGATGCTATTCCACACTCTACATGAGAAGGAGCAATCAAAGAACAAATGATCCCTAGACTCCATTCCTGCACCAGAGCACAAGTTACAGACATTAGTTGTAATGATTCCTCTTCTAAGAAGCTTGTCTTGAGTAAGGAGGCAATCTTGAACTGCCAACCAAGAGATAAATGAATGTTTAGAAATAATCAAGTTCTCCCACACTGTTTTGAAGCATGGTACATTTCCTATAGCCAGAGATAAAGCATAATACAAAGCTGAAAGCTTGATTTTGGAGTTCCTGCAACATGAATTGATGAGATTCTTTAGATTGTCAACTCCATCACAAAGAATCAATGCTTTATCCCTAGTTCTCAGCAATTGCTTCCACATCCAAGAGTCACTTGACCTTGCACCAACTTGCCAAATATCATGTTTTTAAGATATGTATCATGAATCCATTTAACCCAAAGTGCTTCTTTATTAAAGTGAATGAACCACAAACTCCTTAGAGCTGATGTCATATTCCAGATTTGAGCTGAGAAATCCCCAGGCCAGCCTTTCTTTTTTCCAAGAAAATTTTATCCCAAGCAACAAGAGGTGTCTTGAAAGAGTGAGTAGTCCTTCCCCCACAGGAATTTCCTGCACAACTCATCAATCCTATGTAACACATTTGCAGGGAGAATGCAATTTGATGTTCAAAAGATTTGAATACCAAGAATAACACTCCTAATAACTTGTAGCCGTCCTGCATAAGAGAGATTTGTGTGCTTTTCCCACTTCTAAAATTATTCTTCTATCTTGGTGAAGAGAGGGAAGCAACCAATGAATGATAATCTTTTTGAAACAAGAGGAACACCCAGATATCTTATTGGCATGGAGCCCTCAGTGAAGCCCAAGGAATTGAACAGAGATGTTTTAACAGATTCTTCCACACCCCCATAAAAATGGAACATTTGTCAGGGTTTGCCTTTAGGCCAGAAATGGCACTGAACTTATTAAAACATCTGTATAACCTTTAAATTGAATAAGTATCACCCTTGGCAAATAAAAGGAGATCATTCGCAAAGAGCAGATGTGTTAATTTTAACTTGCCACATTTGGTGTGAAACTTGAAAGACCGGTCAATTTTCAAATCTCCTAAACTTCTGGACAGATATTCCATCCCAAGGATAAACAGGCATGGTGAGAGAGGATCCCCCTATTTAAGACCTTGTTCCCCTTTAAAATAGCCAAGAAGAGATCCATTAAGAGAGATAGAATACTTAGGGGAGAAAATACAGGTCATAATCCATTTAACCATGACATTTGGAAAGCCTAAAACAATGAGCATTTCATTCAGGAAACTCCAACTGATGGAGTCAAATGCTTTTCTGATATCAATATTGTGCATTGCTCGTGAAGAAATTGTTGGCCTTCTTGTGTTAGACCCTAGAGGGGGTGATTAGGGTCAAGAGGCTATAATTATGCAATAAAAATTAAGACAAGCAAACCACAGTATTCTAATGCAATCAAAATAGAGGAGATAGGGTTAGGAATCGTTATCCTGTGACGCGTGATATGTTAATGAGGTTCGGTCCGCTGACCTACGTCCCCGCTCCCCACTCTCGAGGAGAAATCCACTACACAACCCAGTTTGAAAGCCGAAACTTCGTCTACACAATGATCCCCTTACGATCTCACACTATACAGTTGATCTCACTAGATCACACTCCCTCACAGTTGATCTACACAAGATCACACTCACAAGATAGTAGAAATGGTGTAAGACTCTCTCTTTACAATGTCCCTATGGTAAAGAGAAAGAGCACACTGAAGCTGGGAAGTGATCACACACAAAACTCAGAAGAACAGGTTTTGAAAATTTTGCTCAGGAAAAACAACGTCTCTGGTTTTTGCAAAAGTTGGGACACTTCAGGAAGAAGAAGAGGATGAGTTTAAATAAGGGAAAACCAGCTGTTTAAACCCATACCCTTAATCCCCCAAAATCGGGAAACAAACGTCGCTGAGATCTGTACTGAGCGGCGCTAGAAAAAGGACCAAAATTACCGTTTGAATAATACGACGGTCGACCGACAAAATTTTCAGTCGACCGCGATCCAGATCGAAAATGAGAAAAACAAACAGAGACTTCACCGGTCGACCGACGGAAAAAATTGAGCTCTCGGTCGACCGCATCGGTCGACCGACAATCTCTATGCTGCCCACTGACGAATAATCATAGGTGCGGTCGACCGGTGCAGTCGACCGCATTCTGATACATTTTAGAAAAGCAGATTTTGACTCAACTAAAATATTTAGAAAATATTTATTTGACCTCTGAAAATTATGAAACTTTGTAAAATGTTTTTAATACTAAAAACAAACTGTTTGGAAAAAGAATTTTGTAGATAGATCCTCATACTTGTGAAAAATAGTATTTTGTGAAAAACGCTTAAAAACATAAGTATGAAAACGTGTGTGTGATATCCCAATAGCTTCAAGTGAAGTCAATAACTCTTTGCCTACATTCTAGCACTAGAGAGAAAAATAAAAGATAGCTAATATCCTCATATAGAATGCAATGCTTGAGTCTTGATATAGCTTGAATAGGATGAAGCTTCTATTTGAATTTGTTGTTCTTGAAATAACGTTGCTTCATCACTATGCCTCCTCCTCCTTTGGATATCATCGTTGTAGCACATATTCTATCCAATCCTCCATTAGTGGCACTAACAAGCTTGATATATGAATTCACTACATTTGCACTCAATAAGCCATTAGTACCGATAATGGTGTTTGTAAAACATCATCAAAAACATAAGGGCTAACAATCTCCCCCTTTTTGATGATGACAACCAACCATTATATAAGAGAAAAAAATAAAGATGGCTTATAGATAGGTGCTCCCCCTATCTATGAGCTCCCCCTAAGTATATGCAACAAATGAGGAGATTTCTCTCCCCCTTTGTCACCATCAAAAATGGGGTAAAGAGAAATACAAAATACAACTAAACAAGCAAGCAATGTAGAACTTTCACATAGTGCATAAGCCCAAGCTATTTCTTATGCGACAAAAATCATCCTCTTCAAGAGGCTTAGTAAATATATCCGCTAATTGAGATTTTGTATCAACAAATACTAGGAATACATCTTATCTCTCTACATGATCGCGTAAGAAATGATGGCACACATCAATATGCTTGGTTCTAGAATGCAAAACCGAATTTTTGGAAATATTTATAGCACTAGTGTTATCCTTGGTTCTAGAATGCAAAACCGAATTTTTGGAAATATTTATAGCACTAGTGTATCACAAAAGATTTTTATATTTTGAAAATTCAAATCATAGTCAACTAAGCTTTGTTTCATCCATAAAAGTTGAGCACAACATAAGCCAGCGGTAATGTATTCCGCTTCCGTAGTGAACAATGCAACACAATTTTGTTTCTTGGAATCCTAAGAAACAAGTGAATTTCCTAAGAATTGGCATGTTCTACTCGTACTCTTGCGATCTACCTTACATCCGGCAAAGTCGGCATCACAAAAACCATATAAATTGCGATCTATCTTACATCCGGCAAAGTCGGCATCACAAAAACCATATAAATCAAAAGAGGTGCTTTTTGGATAAAATAAACCAAGATTAAAAGTTCCATTAACATACTTAATGATCCTTTTAACCGCAATTAAATGAGATGCTTTAGGAGATGCTTGAAAACGTGCACATGCACACACACTAAACATGATATCGGGTCTACTAGCGGTGAGATAAAAAAGACTACCTATCATACATCGGTATAGTTTTTGGTCCACGTCTTCACCACTTTCATCCGCATCAAGCTTGACACTTGTACTCATGGGAGTAGGCGCATGCTTAGAATTCTCCAAATTGAATTTCTTCACCAATTCCTTAGCATAATTGCTTTGAGAAATAAATATTCCATACTTTGTTTGCTTGACTTGAAGCCCGAGAAAAAATGTAAGCTCTCCCATCATGCTCATCTCAAAATGATCTTGCATAACCTTAGAAAATTCCTTTCACAAAGATTCATTAGTAGCACCGAAAATGATATCATCAACATATATTTGAACTAAAATGAAATCATTTTTTCCTTTTTCTCACAAAAAGAGTGTTATCAATAGTTCCTTTTTAAAAACCATTTTTAACAAGAAAACTAGAGAGGCGAGCATACCAAGCTCTAGGAGCTTGTTTCAACCCATATAAAGCTTTTTGAACCCGGTAAACATGATTAGGAAAAACATGATCTATGAAACCAGGGGGTTGCTAAACATATACTTCCTCTTCTATAAAACCATTTAAAAAGACACTTTTAACATCCATTTGAAATAATTTAAAAATTTTAAAGCTAGCAAATACCAAAAACATCCTAATAGATTCTAACCTTGCAACCGGTGCAAAGGTTTCATCATAGTCTATGCCCTCCTCTTGATTGTATCCTTGGGCAACCAAACGAGCTTTATTTCTAGTAACAATGCCATGTTCATCAAGTTTGTTTCTAAAAACCCATTTAGTACCAATAACACTAGCATTGTTAGGTCTAGGAACTAATTTCCAAACATCATTTCTTTGAAAATTATTTAGTTCTTCATGCATAGCCAAAACCCAAAATTCATCATTTAAAGCATCATTAATCTTTTTAGGTTCTAGTTGAGATAAGAAGGCAACATTACCACACTCGCTCAAAGCTTTTGAGCGAGTAACAACTCCTTGTGAATGACTCCCAATTATTTGTTCCTTTGGATGGTTTGATGCGAATTTCCAAGCTTTGGGAAGTTCAACTTGTTCATGAGCATTGGAGCTATCCATATCCTTTTGAGCTTCTTTGGCACAATCCTCACATTTGGTATCTTTGATGAAGTGCAAGTTAGGTAACCCTTTTACAAGATTTCTCTTAGATAATTTTGATATCAATTCCATATTAGCATGTCCAAGTCTCTTGTGCCAAATCCAAGGGTTTTCATCAATTGCCGCAAGGCACTTCACATCTTGATTCACTAGTTCATTCATCTCAAAAATGTTTACATTAGATTTGTGATTAGCAATAAAAATAATTTTTCCATTCATACTAATGATGCATTTATCCGGTTTAAAAGAAATATCAAAACCTTTATCACTTAATTGGCTAATGCTAAGAAGATTATGATTCAAACCATTTACCAAATAAACATCTTCTATAACGGGTTGTAGGCATCGAAAATTGCGTATAGGTCTCCGTGAGCAGCTCAATGCTAAGAGGAGGTGAGGAACATCACTATCCAAGTCACAGAAGTTCGATTAACGTCGATGAACGCTTGAAGTGAATTGATGAACTACGTGAAGCAACAGAGTTTCAGAATAACGAGGATACGAATTGATCGCGAGCCCCGCGTCGCTTACAAAAGGCGAAATA